AAAGGATGAAAGAAAAGTGTCATGAAATGTGGGGATTATCATATGTGCAGGGCCAGAAACATGTTGCTGAAAGTTAAAATACTCTGTGATAATGATGAGATCAGCTGCTGTCCTACAAGAGTCCATCAATCAAGAGTTCGTCAATATGAAGGTTCAAATCTCCCAGTTACATCCTTCTAATGATAAATGACAAAGGTCATTAAATTCAGTTAAAAAAGAGTCCAGCAGGTCATAGATTAAAATAAAAGGTTTTCGGAGAACCGACCTTAATCATCTGTAACTCAAATGAAGAAAACTGGTTTGAGTTCATCAGGCAGCAAGTTCTCTGCCAGAGAAGTGAATATAATGTCGCTGCCACGTCTGAGTCAGCAACTCTAGAGAGTCCTTAATAAAGAGATTATTTAGAATAAATAATGTAAGTTAGAAAACATTAAGCAGGGCAAACTGGATTGTGACCATTGATTGGGACATTCAGCAGCTCACTGGAATTCAACACCTGTACACATCTGTGAACCTGCATTGACTCCTACAACAGATAAAACGATCACTGATGAGAGGACATCGCTGCCACCAGTAAAACAGACCCAGATGACCGTTCTGCCATCGAGCCGTGGACCCAGAGCCACAGACAGCAGGGCAGTGTGCCTGCCAAGTGACAGGAGAGGAACTGGCCACAGGCGCTGGGAGTCTCCCCACAGCCAAGAAGCGAGCCTCCAACGCTGCCTGTTCCACCTCGATAATAACTCTGTGCTGTGTACAGTATCAAACACTCCACTGAGGAACACAGAAAGGAGGAAAGGCTTTGCTGTAGTTGTTGCAGCTGTCACATTAGCTGTCCAATGAACCCGTAATGTACGTCGATCATGAATTCAAACAGCATACAAAAGAAAAACAGAACGCTGCAAATGGCGATGGCCGGCAATAAAAAACGACACCAGCAGCGGCAACCAAACATGGCTGCCATCTTGAAGAAAGCCCATCAGTACAGATAGTTCACACATTGATC